GACGTCGAAGTCTGCAAGCAACCAATCACTCATCTTCGAATTCCGCGGCACGCAGCTGGCGCAACTGGGGCTGTACGCCACTTGAGTGTAAATCTTCCTTCTTCAGTCCTTCAAATATGTGAGCTTGTGCTCGATCACTCTGTGTCAGCTTAGAGCATTAAGCGTTGGGCGCTCGACGCCCTTGTGCCAACAGGTGGCACTCGGCACCCATAGGCCGCGTTGGGGTCCGCTCTGTGGCTGACGTTCTTCGCGTTAGAGCATGTCATTTTCCAAACAGAGATCCGAAGAGTTTTTCGTAATGGTAATCATTCGTCACATTATACCATAATCGTGAAAGAAAAAAAAAACTATAAAAATAAGAAAAGAATACTTGAACACCACGTGGGTCCTTTTGCTGCATGTAGCAGGTGAAAAACTCGAGGAGAAGTTCATTTTAGCTTACTCTCCATTTAAAATGACAACGTCGCTACACTGGCTTTGACCAGGTTGCTACATATATACTTGTATAGGAAGGAAAGAGGAAGTGACATACTAAGTGTTGGGTTCATTTTCCTTATTAAAAGCAGAAAGTTTTAAAAAAGAGGACCAAGGAGATGCGTTGAAGAATACTACACGGTGCTAAGTGGGTTGGGAGAGGGGGAGGGGGGAGCACGCAGCGCGACACTGGCTGCTTTCATACTTCGACGTGCGTGCTGGCACGCAGGTAGAAACGGACGTACATTTAGGTAGCGACGTGCCATCCTCGATTTGCAGTATCGATCGGTACCCGATGCTGTCACACGCTTGGATAGGGCCGCTGTCGCATAGCCGCTCGCACGTCGCTCCCTAAATGTTTCCACTTGCGTGCTGGCACGCACGTCGAAGTATGAAAGCAGCCACTCGGCACGGCACCCTTTTTCGTCTGGCGCCCTCTCCAGCGAGATAGTAGTGGCCTGAGTCTGGGAAGGGATGGTGAGGTTGTACTGAAGTGTTTCGTGATTCAAAACAGATTACCTCTTGGCACATGTTATATGCTTGCATATTATGGATACTCTTCTTCTGAGCCGATAAAACCCTATTTTTAAGAAGGGGAGGGGCTCCGGGGTGGGTGAGATGGTTATCTTGTGCAAAAAGCTGAGATGAGATAAAAGCTGAACATCCAATTGGCTCACCCACCCCGGTGCCCCTCCCCTTCCTAAAATTAGGTGAAAAAAACGTAGTTATAACATAAAAGAGCTATGAAACGTCCCTAAACACCATTACGGGCTCGCCTACCCTTCATTGTCTAATATCTCGCCGCAGAGGGCGCAGACATGAAAAGGCGCCGCGCCGCCGCGTGCCCCCCC